AAAAAAAAAAAAAAAAAAAAAAAAGACTACAGCAAAATTTATCAGAGAGAAATCATCACAATGCCATTGGTGTAAAATAAGACCATCAATGTGTTTTCGGTTTTTAGTACTAAAACAATGTGAATTATAGGACCTTCATCATCACTATAGGTACTCATTTATATTAAACACTGATTCCTATTTTCTAAGAGTTCATTTTGATGGAATGAGATTTTTCTCTTCAGCTATCATATCTATTTTTTAAACTCATTTTCAAATAAACTTGACATTAACCAGAAAAAAACCCCAAAAAACAAAAAAAGCCCCTGCAACCAAAAAATAGCTGGGTGTTGTGACAGGCACCTGTAATCCCAGCTACTTGGGAGGCTGAAGCAAGATAATCACTTAAACCCAAGAGTTTGAGGTTGCTGTGAGCTGTGATGCCATGGTACTCTACCAAGGGCAATATAGTGAGACTCTGTCTCAAAAATAAAAAGATATTAGCTATTATTGACCCTTTCCTTTAGGTGGGAATGTTCTTTCTTCTGTTCTTTACCGGGTAAATGCCTAGTTATTTGTATCATTCAGGACTCTTTCTAAAATTGATCAATTTAAAAGGCCAGGATTTTAGGCCTGGCCTATGGGGGTGGAGCAAGTTCAACAGAGCTTGTCAGTTACTAGCTAGCTTCCTTCTCTGCAACTCAACCCACCTTTTTTACAGACTGGTAGATTGGGAGGGCTCCATGTGGCAGGTACTCAGGGTATAAAAAGAAGGAGGGCCTTCCATCAGCTGCCCTGGGCACTTGGCTTGCCTCATCCTAGTCCTGGCTCTGCCTTGGAGGCTCTAGGTTTTCCTGCTCCTTAGGTCCTGATTTCAGGAAAGGAAAGACTCTCTCCTGAGAGTTTCAGAGAAAGTTCCAAAAAGGGCCTTGATTGGTCTGGCTAGGTCATGTGCACATGCCTGAGCTAGCCAATCACAGCAGCCAAGGGGCTGGGGCCATACACTGGTCTAGGATGAAGATGCTCCCAAGCCAACCATGTGGAAGAGGAGGTTGGAGAAGAGATACCTTGAAACATGCTGGACTGGCTCAGCGCCTATGGCTCAAGTGGCTAAGGCGCCAGCCACGTACACCCAAGGTGGCAGGTTCGAATCCAGCCTGGGCCCGCCAAACATCAACGATAGCTGCAACCAAATAGCCGGGTGTTTTGGTGGGTGCCTGTGGTCCCAGCTACTTGGGAGGCTGAGGCAGGAGACTTGCTTGAGCCCAGGAGTTGGACATTGCTGTGAGCTGAGATGCCAAGGCACTCTACCCAGGGGGACAGCTTGAGGCTCCTGTCTCAAAAAAAAAAAATAAAAAAGAAACATGCTGGACTGACAAAACATGAGGTCCTCCTCATGTGACATATGCAACTGTTGGACTTCAGTTATTCTAGGACCCTCTCCTCCCTGGGACTGGCTCCTGCTTTGTGCACTGCAGTCTGTATTCCCTATCATTCATTCATTCATCCACTCACACATTCCTTATTCAGCAGATGTTTGATGAGTACCTACTATGTACTAGGTATAGAGAAAGGGAAAAGGCTGAGGAACAGGAATAATTACTGGGGGCCAAATGGAAGTGGTCTGTTGGTAAGAGAACAGGGAGCCCCTGTCTTGAGGCCCAAAGAAGAGGTGGAATTTCCAGGATGAGAGGTCTATACAGGAGCTGCTGAGAGGCTCACTGAGACCAAGAAATGACCATCACGTTGGGAAGCAGGAAGGCTGTGACCTTGGGCAGAGTTAAGGGGTGGGAATGCAGCTCTGCTGGGTGGGGTGAGGGAAGAGTAGGCCGGGAGGGAATGGAGAAGGCAAGTGCAGGCAAGCCTGGGAAGGAGAAAGTCTGTGAGGGGAGTAGGGAAATGGCGAGAGGCAGGAGAGGGCTTGAGAGTAAGTGGGGAAGCCTTCCTCTTTTTGTGGAAAAACCTGACCCAGGATCACGCAGTGAGAGCTTGATGGCACAGGAAAGCAGAGGCAATGTGGGTTCCCAAGACTAGGGAAAGGAGTTCCGAGACTAAGAAGCGGGGAAAGGCTAGAGCCTCCTGGGCAGAGCCAGGACTAGGATGAGGAGGAGGTGGGAGCCAGGCAGTGAGAATTGTCTTTTGGGGACTGGAAGAGGACAGAAATAAGTTTTTCTCTTAAGAATGAGGCTGAGGCTCTGTGCCTGTGGCTCAAGTGGCTAAGGCGCCAGCCACATACACCTAAGGTGGCGGGTTCGAATCCAGCCCAGGCCCGCCAAACAACAATGATGGCTGCAACCAAAAAATAACCAGGCGTTGTGGTGAGTGCCTGTAGTCCCAGCTACTTGGGAGGTGGAGGCAGGAGACTTGCTTGAGCCCAGGAGTTGGAGGTTGCTGTGAGCTGTGATGCTACAGCACTCTACCCAGGGGGACAGCTTGAGGCTGTCTCAAAAAAAAAAAAAAAAAAAAAAAAAAAAAAGAATAAGGCTGGGACGGCCAGGCAAACAGGGCTGTGGAAAGTGTAAGGAGAGGGGAGGAGGAGTGAGATTTTAAGAGCGGAAGAGAATCATGGAAGAACATGATAGTGTTGCTGGCTCTGTGGACAATCCATGAGGTATGGGATCACAAATCCCTAGCCCAAGGGCTGTGCATGGTCCCTATCACCTGCCCCCAATAAGAGGAAGGCAAGTTTCCTTCAGGTTGGGGTTCTCTTTTGTGGAGGCAGAGAGGGGTGGGGAGATGAGCTCTGTAAAAATCCAGGCCAGGTCGGTGGTCTCATCACCTGCTTTTTATGGATTAGAAATCTGGGAGTTTGCAGGCCAATATAGTTTAGAATACAGTCTAGCACTTGTTAGATAATATTATCTGTTGGAAAAAACTCACATGGTTAGAAGGTCCACTAATGCACCCATACTGGTCGCCCAGCCAGGAAGTGGCCTCCACTTTGGGGGTTGTTGAGTGTGGAAGGTGACTCTTTTGACCCAGTGGATTGAGTCTGGAGATAGAACTTGGGAGACACCAAGTTAGCTGAGCAGAGTGCTCTTAGCCTCACTCCTCACACAAGGCTCACCTTTGAGGGAGTCACAGGCCTCAGCCAGGCACCCAATCTGGAATGCCTCCCTGATTCCTAACCCTTGGCTTTACCGCCTATACCCAGCTCAGGCCAGCTGACAGGGAGCACTGGGGCATGTACCTGCAGTGCCCAGGATCTTAGTCCTTTCAAAGAAAGTCCAGGAGCTGCAACCCTGGGCTTGGCCACCCTGAACTCAGTAGGAGTGGAACACAAGGCTTCTCTACAAGTAGGGTTCCCAGCCTTGTTGCATAAAGGCCACTTAGGCAGAAGTGAACTCTAGTTAATAATGATGGTTCATGCTGCAGAAAATGCACAAGACAAAACCCTGCTTATTTATTCAGGCTCTAAAACCATAGTACTCCCCATTTCTGCTTTGTAGCTATTTATATCCTGAGCTGGTCCCCATTTAAGCTCAGGTTTGAAGTAACTTAAAAGAAAAGCAGCCGTCCCGATTAAACAAAAAAAAAAAAAAAAAGGAAAAAAGATTTCATGGACAGCCCTTCTCGTCTAATTATGAAAAGCCCGTCGTTTGGGGGTGGCGTTGTTTCTGGGGTCGGTGGGGGTGGGGCAGGCATAGACCTCTAGGGCAGTCACACACTCCCCCGCCCCCTATAAGGCCGCGAAGCAGCCCTAGGGCCGGCCGGGGTCACGCCCCAGGGCAGGGTTGTCCCAGGCGGGGGTCTCAGACGACCCCCATCCTGCCTGTACCCCATGCCAATCCTCGCTGGGTGCCCGGAGTGGAGTAGAGGAGGAAGGGGGCGGGCAGCAGACGCGGAAAAGTGGCTGCTCTTGCTTCGGAGGAAGTAGACCCCCCTCCCAAGGGTTTAGGATGAAAATAGCTTCTTCCTCTTTACCCTTCCTGGCCCCCAGCCCATTCTGTAAGTCTGTCCCCTGTTTCCCGCGCCGCGGTAATTCGGTCCCTTCACTGATCTTTACCCGGCCATCAAGGATGGATGGCTCGGCTGTCCGGGGGCCAGCATTCCACGCGCCGCCAGAGCCTCCGGAGACCCTCGCCTCGGCCTCCGCAGGGGCGGCGCACCAGCAACTCCGGCAATTCCGGCGACTTCCAACCTCCCCACACCCAGTTAGCTGAGAGCATCACAATTCCCGGAGCTCCTACTTTAAGTCCCTTTAGGGAAGACTGTCACCTGGGAACCCTGATCCCCCGGCCCAGAGGTTCCCCTGGCCCCAGTTTGTCCCCAGATTCCTTGGGAAAGGCGGGGGCGCAATTAGTTTCTTCCAATTAGTTTCCCCTCTTTGTATGGAGCCCATTCAAACTGTGGAATGTAATCCTCCGCGCGAGGGGAAAAGTAGTCCCGACCTTGCATTCAATTTCTATGCTCGTGTCTGCACATTTTACTTTTTAAACCCGACGGGACGCTCGGTGGGGGCCTTTGGAGAATGTGGGGGCAGAGGACGCGGGAGGCGCGCAGAGGTAGGAGAGGTGGGGGCCGCCGCAGGGGGAGGGGCAGGGAGGGCAGCTAACTCCTCGCTATTGCCTAGAGAGATGGATCATGGGGCGTAGAGAGATTGCAAACCTCAAACCACGTACAGTGGGCGATACGCGTCAACCGAACCTAACCAACGGAAGCCCAGAGCCTCCCCCTCCCCGCTCTCCCGCCCCGGGCCCCTAGACGGACAGGCGCCTAGAGCCAACCCGGCCGCTGCTCACTGTCCGAATTCCAGAAGAGCCAATGGGAACGCGGGGGGCGGAGCCATCGCGCGCTGTGTTGGGCTGCGCGCGGCCCTCCCTCCTCTCACCCAAGCTCCGCCCCTCCCCCCGCCCCTCCCGCTCGCTGCTCCGGGAGTAGTTAGTGCCAGTGAAGTGCGGGCGGCGATGAGAGCGAAAGTTGCGCTGGGTTTGGCGTTGGGGGCTTGAAGCGGCTCCACGCTCCGACCGTCCGGGCCTCCCCCCGCGCCAACTTGCGCGCGTGGGCTCCGGCCGCGCTCGCTCAGCCCCGCGCCCACCCGCGCCCCCTCCCCTCGGCCCGGCGCCCCCTCCTCAGAAGCCGCGGGCCCCCGCCACTTTCTCCCGGCCCCGGCCCCCGTCGATGCCGGCCATGGTGGAGAAGGGCCCCGAGGTCTCAGGGAAGCGGAGAGGGAGGAACAACGCGGCCGCCTCAGCTGCTGCCGGCTCGGCCGCCGCCGGCTCGGCCGCCTCCGCCCCGGCCGCCCGCGCCTCCGCCCCGGCCGTCCCTGCCTCCGCCTCCGCCTCGGCCGCCGCCGCCCCCAATAATGGCCAGAATAAAAGTTTGGTGGCGACTGCACCCAATGGCAACAGCAGCAGCAACTCCTGGGAGGAAGGCAGCTCTGGCTCGTCCAGCGACGAGGAGCACGGTAGGTGGCAGCCGCCCCAGGCTCCCGGGCTCCCGGACCCCTGCAGTCCCGCGGCCCCGCTGACCACCGTACTCTCCTTCCCCCGCAGGTGGCGGCGGCATGAGGGTCGGACCCCAGTACCAGGCGGTGGTGCCCGACTTTGACCCCGGTGAGTAGCCCTCCGGGCCGGGGACCGCACGCCGAGCCCCTCGACGGCCGAGGGGCTGGGATGAGTGAGACTCTCCAGCCCTTGGGGAACCCGAGGGGCGGGAGCACATCGACAACTTTTCTTTTTGTGTGTGTTCGCCCTGCCGTCCGCGGGGAGAACAGCAGGGCGAGAACGAGGAGGAACACACGCACACGCGTGTTCTGCAAACGTGCCTCTGCACACGGGGGAGGCCCAGGTCGCCCCCAGTCGGGCCGGTACAGCTGCCCTCCTGCGCCTCCAAGGACTGGAGGCGGCACCGGTGGCGGCCACACCTGGCTTTGGGGACTGTGGGGGTCCTTGCGTCCAGGTGAGCTGCTCCTCGGCCGGGAGTAGAGGTGGCAGTGCCGGAGAGTTAGCGTCCTGCGAGCGCCCCGTACTTAGGAGATCCGCGGAGATCCGCAGAGACCCCTTTCTCAGAACACTTACCCAGTGTTGCCCTACATGCTTTCCCCCCTTCGCCAGCCCCCGGGCTCTTGCTGGCTCCTGACTCTGCTCCTATCCTGAGGACAAGTAGAATAACGACCCCAAAATGAGTTAATAAAAGAAGCATGTTTTCTAGAGGACGCCTGCTTGGGGCTCGTGTGTGGCGGTTCGATTTTAAGACCTATTTTGTAAATGTGGGCAATTCCTTTATTTCCCTTTTTTTTTTCTGGAGGAAGAGATTGTGAAAGTGTAGAACCATTAGAACCTTTAGCCTAACAAATGATTTCCACCTACAAGAAATCCCTACACCCTAGAATGGCACATTTACTTCCCTTTCTACTGCTATTCAGTGTGGAAGAAAATTTAAAGTGGTAGAAGAAGAACAATCTTGTCAGACAAAGGAATTCGTCACATTTTAATGCGTGAGATTTTAGCCCATTCTTTATAACACTGTCTTTAAAGGTTGTTGGTGTAGAAAATGTTTGAAAGGACGTGGGTTTTAAGATACAAAATTCAAAAGAGCATCATGTTTGTAAAAGGTGAACAGTCCCCTCTGGTTGGAGGGTTTTAGAAATGGAGGTTCTCCATGTAAATTAAAACACTAGTTTATTTGAAAAAATAAGTGCATAAATGCTTTTCCTTGGAAACAAGACTGCAGAAAATTACAAGGATCTGGTCTTTGAAAAGGCGATTTCTCTTAAGCTGTTATTAAGGTACTAAACTCTGGATGTACTTGGAAGTGAAAATAATGGGGGTCTTGGGTGAGTTCTTGAGCAGTTTGGAAATAAATGAGTTTTTCCTAATTTGTTTTCTGAGTTTTGGTTTGTTGATGTAAATTTCTTAAATTTATGTAGTTAACACCCATGATTATATTTGTTTTAAATCCATGTTAGCGTTTTTTGATAGTTTCCCCTTCCCCCACATTTTCCTTTTTTGGTAGTCACTTCTCTTCAGGCTTTTTCTCTTCTATGGCTGGCTTCTCCATTCCTTGATTGGCCACCAGGGGAAGCATACTGTTTTTTTGGTTACAGTTGACCCTATCTTCATTTTGTAGGTCAAGTCTGTCTTTGCTTTAGTATGCAGAACATAAAGCTTGTCACCAAGTTTCCCTCACCTAGTTTTTTAAAATCAACTGGCACAAATCTTTAAGTTGGTTAATCTTTGATACATGTTTGTTATGTTAATTTTGAATGCTTTATTTAAATATGGCAGGTGTGACTAAGGAAAAGGGCCCATTTGATGACAATAGGAATTAGATTTTGGACATTATCTAAATATGGTTGTCTTTCTCTGCATTGTTGGTAATAAGTCTGATTTCTTTTTTTTTTT